ATTCTACGTTTATATTCATATCACCGTGTTGGGAATTTCATTGCGAGTACATTGATACCAAAATTAACGCTGTAGGACAAGTGTGGAAGTGATAACAATCCCAAGAGTAAAAACATTTTGTTGCTCTTGGGCACTCACGGCGAGTCATCTACGTAGGTATTTATTGGGTGCTGGTATTCATATAACTTTTGGTGACCGTTTTTGCTGATTTTCTTCTAGAGAATGTTATTGCGAACACGTTGGTACCAAAATGAAATACATAGCTCGAGAACTAAGGTCAGGAGAGTAAAAAGAGTATACACATTTTTGTTTTGACGCTTAATTAAGGTTATTGTGAGTACTCATCGCCTGCCTAGAAACTGGAACTAGTAATTCCATCTATCATACATATCATACAAGAGGAGCCACACATCTATGGATCATCCAATAAAATCAGCAGACTTCTAGATGTTACTACTGCTCGGCTTAGACTCGGTTACAAGTATCTCTGGGAATTCTCATTATCTGCTGATGTAGACCTGACCAAATGTAAACTGTGTCAACAAAATTATTCGCACACCCTCCGTCACTATGTGATGGAGTGCGAAAAGATACATGAATTTAGAGACAATTCTATAACCAATGTTCCAGCGATGTGTCAATATTTCATTCAAAATGATCTGCTACCAGAAATTTTAGCCAAATATCCCCAGTTTGCTAACTGTAGATAACAACTAAGTGATTGTAACCTATCCACCGCTGCCCACTGGATGGGGGACGGTGTGCAGGACAAACATATAAATTTTGATACTAGCTCTCCACATATGTCAGTTGCTTAATTTAGAACCTGTACTTGAGGTCGATCTCGAACCCATTGTTGATGTGATGACTTATATTGAATTTTGTAACTATATCATCAAGATTGTAACCAGCTTAGCTAAATGTAGTGTGGGGTTCAGTCCCTAAGCCCATATATGTGCCTCTCTAACCATTTAGGTTACAGGGCAAAAACATAAAAACAAAGGTAACTGCAGAAGGCCTATTGGCCCATACCAGGCAGCTCCTATCTATAACAGATAAACACTAAGTACTACCTAATTAACTCAATGTAACCTACCAACCTAACCCCCAAAATGTCAATCCATATCTTTTATTTTAAACAATGCTGTTTTGTTGACCAAATTGTATTTTTACTCTTTTTCTGTCATGTTTCTCCCACCCCTGTTTTTTCCCTTTTTTCTTATTTTTTCTCAACATAATTCATACTTTAATTATGCGGATCAGGACATCACCTGATCAAACACATCAAACATCGTTTGACCACCATCAAACACACACATTTCGTGTGTGTTTGACGCTCACTGATATGTACCAGCGTTGTTTTATATATGGTGCTATTCTATCTTACGCTTTGTTGCTCTTTTTTACCTACGGGCTCATAGAACATTCTATTGCGAAAACATTGGCACAAAAATGAATGACGTACATACAATAATAATGTCAGGACAGTGATATAATTATAAACTTTCAAAGCACTGTATCGCCCATGTGTCGTCTTGTCACCAATACTGGGTAACAGTTCCGCCACTTCCCACACTCTTGCGGGTGGGCAGCGACCATTATTCTACGTTTATATTCATATCACCGTGTTGGGAATTTCATTGCGAGTACATTGATACCAAAATTAACGCTGTAGGACAAGTGTGGAAGTGATAACAATCCCAAGAGTAAAAACATTTTGTTGCTCTTGGGCACTCACGGCGAGTCATCTACGTAGGTATTTATTGGGTGCTGGTATTCATATAACTTTTGGTGACCGTTTTTGCTGATTTTCTTCTAGAGAATGTTATTGCGAACACGTTGGTACCAAAATGAAATACATAGCTCGAGAACTAAGGTCAGGAGAGTAAAAAGAGTATACACATTTTTGTTTTGACGCTTAATTAAGGTTATTGTGAGTACTCATCGCCTGCCTAGAAACTGGAACTAGTAATTCCATCTATCATACATATCATACAAGAGGAGCCACACATCTATGGATCATCCAATAAAATCAGCAGACTTCTAGATGTTACTACTGCTCGGCTTAGACTCGGTTACAAGTATCTCTGGGAATTCTCATTATCTGCTGATGTAGACCTGACCAAATGTAAACTGTGTCAACAAAATTATTCGCACACCCTCCGTCACTATGTGATGGAGTGCGAAAAGATACATGAATTTAGAGACAATTCTATAACCAATGTTCCAGCGATGTGTCAATATTTCATTCAAAATGATCTGCTACCAGAAATTTTAGCCAAATATCCCCAGTTTGCTAACTGTAGATAACAACTAAGTGATTGTAACCTATCCACCGCTGCCCACTGGATGGGGGACGGTGTGCAGGACAAACATATAAATTTTGATACTAGCTCTCCACATATGTCAGTTGCTTAATTTAGAACCTGTACTTGAGGTCGATCTCGAACCCATTGTTGATGTGATGACTTATATTGAATTTTGTAACTAGCTCATCAAGATTGTAACTTGCTTAGCTAAATGAATTGTGGGGTTCAGTCCCTGAGCCCATTATGTGCCTCTGTAACCCTTTCCACAACCGCCCACAAGATGGGTATGGGGTGCATAATGGGGTGGGGTGTCTTGGCCAAACGTGCCACATCAAAACCACAAGTTGACATTGAATGTGAATTAACAATGAGACAAGTAAGATTTATACTAATACATTTATACTAACTCTGTTGAGCGTTGACCATTTATACATCAAATCTGTTGATGTGAGCACTTTAGTTTAGTCTGCCGTTTAAAGAAAAAAAGAGCATATCAATGGTATATCACAGAAAACGAATTTATCATAAACTCATGTATTTGTCTTATCATATTGAACTGCATTCATATTTTTAATATATAACAATATGAATATACAAATTTCTGTAAATCCCCTACCTTGTTGGAATCTGTGGAAATGAATGAGCAAATGTGCTGGCTGAAGGCGCTGAAGGAAACCACATTGGTTTCATTTTGGATACAAATGTCCATGGAAATTCAAAATGGAAACTAATTATATAGTTGAACCTGCAGAGACGAGTTTAAGAATCTGTGTTGAGAGTGATGGACACAGCCTTCACAATTATACTTCAGAGAATGTAAACATCTAAGAGTCATTAGAAATATGTGTAGAATAATAAACCCTACATTGTTTGAGTTAGGGAAAACACCATTTGTGATATATAGATACTATAGCTGTTCCTAAAGATTCACCCTTTTTTGCACCAGCAAGATAACATATAAGATTTTAAGAGTTGACGAATGTTAATATTCTTGTTTGATAAACTGTGAACTTGAGACATAGTTAATAAGAACATATTAACACAACAAAATGTTTTCAAAATCCTTAACACCACTTTCCAGCAACTTATATAATTTATATAAATTATTTTAGAGAATAATACATAAATTATATATTTAAACATGATATAGTGTTTAGTGGAATGTATAAGGAGTCAAATTGTGTTAAAAAGAGCAATTTTTAGAAAATTTGGAAAAATACTTTTTTCTGTTCAAATTATAACTAAATGGATTATAAAGGTTTCACTCAGCCAATATATATCATTCACAATTTATTAATGAATTTTACAAAAAAACACCATAAATTTTATATTTAAACATGTAAAACATTTGGAAGAAAATAATTGTAGAAAAACAATTTATAATTAAACCTTTGTGTTTGGAGTCGTTTTTGAGTAAAAGTTTCTCAAAGGCTCTCCTGCACCATTCTCAATGCAAATCATTCCCACACCTATGGCAAGAGATAGGCGAACGTTGTGTAGATGATTTGTGTTTGCTGGGCTAACAGCCGAAAAGTGGGAACCCAGTTCGGTCGCGACCGTCACTGGATTCGCCAAAAGAATACCAGAGGTAAAGGACCGGCGAGATATCTGGAACAAACTTTCAACTGTATCTTGCAGATTTTCTGCCAGATCTACTGCAGAGGATTATCGGACGTAATGATGGAGATGTAAGATTTCCAACTCTCATGATTAGCTGTACGGATGGTCCTATGGGCCACCGCAATAGCCTTCCGAAACAAAGTAAAAGAATCAGCCGGTTGCCGGCGTCGGTGTTTCTTCCAGGCTGCACGCTTACAGTGGGCAGCCCGATGTTACGATATATCGTATCGTGTTATTTCATCGCATAAAGACACGGTTATTTATTAGTAATACGTTCATTATTACAGGAAGAACGAGGTTAACAACCGTGGAGGTCGTTAACGGTCAGCACGGTATGGCTCATCCGGTGGCGGGAATTTCTGTTAGCCAATCAGAACCACCGGGCGAGGTAACGTGTGCTGGCCGAAGCAGGTGGAGAAAGAGACATCTACTCCCCGCCATTCAGTCAACATGCTGTCGTCACTTTCGGATGTTTGACCAACTGACCCAACTGTTCCAGTATGCTCCACCCTCACCAAAGGAAACGGACGTGAGGACCTAGCAGCATGGTAGACGTCTCTGAGGTCGTGGAAGGCACCGTCATTGATAGTTAGAGGCGTTGAGGTAACACACAGTGTCCGAATAGTGGTCCTAATTACGGACAAGTGGATGATTTATAAGTGGGAAGAACAATCGGACAAGAGACGACCATTTTATGGTCGCAGTCTCTCTCTCTCTCTATATATATATATAACTGTACTTGTGTACAATGCCTTAATATATATACATGTAATATATTGTATATAAGGTGGTTAGAGATATATCCGAATATATCCATGATGAAGTTTTTATACAATCTTATTTTCTTGTCCTTTGTCAGACCTCAGCACAAAGTGTGTCGCACCTGACAATAGGTCCGGCTGAGGCTGACACCTGATCAGATTAATGTACCCCGTTATAGTACATCGAAACATAGGATAAACACTCAGAATAAACCTAAAGTAAATGTGTTGGGTTGTCGACAGTTCGATCCCAACACATATGGGGGCCTGTCCGGGAGTGTTTTGAGCAAGACACACTGTGTACACTTGCAGCACCCGTTGCTAGTCATCTAGGTATCCAGCCAGGTAAAGTTTCATCATGGATCGTGTCCAAGAATTTTTAACAAAAGAGGACCCATTGATTTTGGAGAGCTGTACGAAAGAACAGCTGAAGCAAATCGCTGAACACTATGAAATAGAATTAGTGTCGACTAAAGTGGTCTATATGAGACAGGAACTTGGAAATAAAGTAAGGGCTCGACGCGAAGATGTAGGAGCGGTAGGATTAGATGTGAGTGCAAAGGAAAGTGGGGAACAAGATAATGAGGAAGTATCTTCTAATACGTCACATAGGAGTGGAAGTTTAGAATATGAATTGGAACGTTTGAAACTGGAAGCTCAAATTAAGAGGGAAGAGAGAGAGTTTCAGTTAGAGAAACTGAAATTGGAGCAAGAGAAAGTGCGACTTGAAGGTGAGCAAAAAACGCGTGTAGAATTAGAAAAGGAGAAAACGAAGCAAATGGAAATCGAAGCAAATAAATTTGTGGCTGTTCAGAGGCGAGGGCGAGAGGTACACTCGGAGAGCACACCTATGCCTGCAGCATATGATCACAAGGCACGTGAAAAGGAGGTTCCGCAATTTTGTCCAGAAGAGTCTGAGTCTTTTTTTGAACATTTTGAAAAAGTTGTTACACTAAAGCAGTGGCCAGAGGAGGATTGGACCCAATTGGTGCAAATAAGATTAACTGGGGCAGCGAGAGAGGCCTATACCCAGCTCTCTCTTGAAGATTGTAAAAATTACTGGACTGTGAAAAACAGCTTATTAAGGTAATTTCTACTGACACCTGAAGCTTACCGGAAGCGGTTCAGAGAAATGGTAAAGACACAGAGGAGCACATATGCTGAAACAGCCAGAGATTTGGAACGTAGATTCCAAAGATGGATGGGTTCCGAAAAGGTAGAATCTTTCGAAGACTTGAAACAATTGATGTTAATGGAAAAATTCTTGGAGATGGTGACTCCAGACACCAGGTTTAAGGTTCAAGAAGCAGGAATAAAAACACTCTTGGAAGCAGCGGACAAAGCAGATGTAATTACGGAAGCTTACAGAAGTCTCCAGGAACATAAAGAAAAAGGTCACGCAAAGTTGCATGGTAGTAAAAGACAGTATACGTGGAACAGTGGAGATGGTCGTGGAAATACTGGCAAACCGATAGCCCGACAAAGTCAGGGGTATGTAGAATTTTCTCCGTCGGGAGGTGACGCATTCGAGGGTCAGGCTAGCGCACCCTCGAGTCAGGGAGGAAATACAACGTCTAGAAATCGAGGTATAGGACAATGGAGACGTGGCGAATCCTATTATAATGGACAACGTAGTTCGAGAGGACGAGGATTCTCTTCTCAGGTAATATGGTACACATGTAACAAGCCTGGACACTTAAGTAGAGAGTGTAGGCAAGGCAGGAGAGTGGTGTCCCTCACAGTAAGTAAATACAGTCGCCCGTATACAAGTTTAAAGGAGGAATTGCCCCAGGAGAAGATATTCATTACGAAAGGATATAACTCTTTCATTAGCAAAGGTATGGTGAGTATTGGGGGTCAGCCTGACCAACAAGTCACAATGTTACGTGACACAGGAGCGAATCAGAGCTTAATACTGAAAAGCTTGATTCCTGAGTACAGATCTTGTATAAATGGACAAATAATTAAGGTACGGGGTATAAATTCAGAGATGGATATACCTGTGTGTACAGTAAAGCTAACCTCTGATTACTTTACAGATGAAGTGATGTTAGGAGTGTGCTCGGACATACCCATTCCTGGAGTACATGTCATCTTGGGCAACGATTTGTGCGGTTCAATTGTGTTGCCAGAGGTACTGCGCAGTGATGTACCAAACGGACATCAAAACAATTTGGAAGATGAAAAATGTAATAACATAACGCTCGCCAGTATTCTGGATGATCCCTCGGAAGATGATCAAATAGAAGTATATCCGGCCTGCGTCGTAACCCGAGCGCAGAGTGCTCGACTAAGAGATGTGCCAGAGAGGATGGACGTATCTTCTGCAAAGGAGGAGGAAGAGGTGGATTTTGGACTAAAAGGCTTGTTCGAGGAACGTGCAGCACCAAGTACAGCGAGAGTGGAAGTAAGACCACAATTACCATCCCACATAAAGGTAAGCAAACCAGATTTTATAGCTGCCCAGAAATTAGAATTTGAGAAATATATAAAGGAAGCTAAGGGAGAAAATGCTTGTATCACGTCACCCACTTACTATTACCTGGACGACGGGGTTTTGATGCGAAAATGGCGATCAGACCACGCGCCAGCTGACAAAGACTGGGTTGAAAAGGATCAAGTGATTGTACCTAAAGGTTATAGGAACTCTGTATTGGAAGTTGCCCATGCATTAGAAATGGCGGGACATCTCGGTGTTCATACACTTAGGAAAATACAAGACCATTTTTATTGGCCAGGTATGGCTGCAGACGTAAAAAGGTATTGCAGAACTTGTTTACCCTGTCAGAGAGCGGGAAAACCTGCTCCAGCGCTTCCTAGAGCCCAACTAAAGCCATTTCCAGCGTTTGGGGAACCTTTTGAAAGGATAATAGTGGATTGCGTAGGTCCCCTACCCAGGACAAGAAAAGGGAACGAATACTTATTTACCATGTGCTCAGCGACTCGTTTTCCCGAGGCATTTCCCGTGCGAAAGATAACCTCCAGAATATTGCTTGACAGGTTACAGCAATATTTTTCGTGGGTAGGAATGCCGAAGGTTTTGCAGTCCGATTTAGGCAGTGTTTTTCAATCAAAGCTGTTCCGTAAGACAATGAAGGATTGGGATGTGAAACAGATTAGGTCATCTCCTTATCATCCTCAATCTCAAGGGGCCATCGAACGTTTTCATGGCACTATGAAGAGCCTTTTGCGAATTTATTGTGCTGAGCAAGGGGCACAGTGGGACGAGGCCATCGCCCCAATAATGTTTGCTATCAGGGATTCAGTAGTTGAGTCCTTAGGCATGACACCGTTTCAATTAGTATATGGGCATACGGTGAGAAGTCCGATAGTTATGTTGAAGGATCGGTTAACATCTGAAGGTTCAAGAGATAATCTGGAAACGTATGTTCAAAAGTTTAAATGCAGATTGTTCAGGGCGCGAGAGCTGGCGAAGGAAAATTTGAAAATATCCCAAGCGACCATGGCAAAATATTACAACAAAGGTACCAAAAAGAGAAGTTTTAATGCAGGTGATAAGGTATTGGTCTATCTACCTGTAAAAGGGACGGTAAATGATTCAAAATTTTGTGGACCCTATATGGTCAAGAAGAAACTTGGTGATTTAACGTACGTAATACACATGCCTGACAGACCGAGAAAATCCTAGATATGTCACGTGAACTTAATGAAAAGGTATTGGGATAGAGATGAGGATGGGCAACTAGACACTGCTGTAATGTGCGCAGTTTCCAATGAGTTTACGGAATTAAACCATAAGAGGCTAGAAAGAGCAGATGGAGCCCGAATTTCTAATTCTCAGTGGTTACGAGAGATGAATGCACACTTGACATACTTAGATGATCAAAGGAGGCAGGACATAGAAGAGATTCTCATGAAATACATATCACTATTTTCTGACGTACCGCGACGACACCGCGAAATTACGCACGAGGTAAATGTAGGAGGAGCTCGACCAATAAAGCAACATCCGTATAGAATAAATCCTGAAAAGAGAGAAATTATGCGACGTGAGGTAAAATATCTATTGGATAACGATCTGGCAGAATTGAGCGACAGTGATTGGAGCTCGCCTTGTCTACTGGTGAAAAAGCCAGATGACACACATAGGTTGTGCACGGATTAGAGAAAGGTGAATTCGGTCACTATCGCAGATTCGTACCCAATTCCTCGAATTGAGGATTGTATCGACCAAATAGGACACGCCCAGTTCGTATCTAAAATTGACCTTTTGAAAAGGTACTATCAGATACCCCTCTCAGAGAGTGCCAAGAGAATCTCTGCCTTCGTGACACCTGACGGTCTTTATCAATATAAAGTACTACCATTCGGTATGAAAAATAGTGGAAGTTGTTTCCAGAGAGCCATGAATAAAATCCTACAAGGGATGGTAGTTTGTACAGTTTATATTGATGACATCATAGTGTATTCACACTCGTGGGAAGAACACCTTCATCAACTAAAAGAGTTGTTTGATAAATTGGAAGAGGTAAATTTGACTATTAATCTCCCAAAAAGTGAATTTGGCAAAGCAAAATTGCAATATCTTGGATACATCGTAGGACAAGGGGAGGTTGCCCCTGTCAGACAAAAAGTTGAAGCCATAGATAAGTATCCTGTGCCTAGAGGGAGAAGATATTTACTCAGGTACCTAGGCATGGTGGGGTACTATAGAAAATTCTGCAGAAATTTTGCAACCATTGCAGCACCATTAACAGGACTTTTAGCGAAACATAAGAAGTGGCAGTAGGACGAAGCCTGTCAAGAATCGTTTAATAAAACGAAATCATTGCTAACAGAAGCCCCTGTATTGGTTTCACCCGATTTTCAGAAGCCATTTTCCCTCTTTGTCGATGCAAATGATGTAGGTGCGGGCGCTGTTTTGACTCAGGACCAAAATGGAACTTGTAAACCAGTGTCCTATTTCTCTAGGAAATTTTTACCTAATCAAAGAGCATATAGTACCGTTGAAAAGGAAACCTTAGCCTTAGTGATGGCGCTACAGTATTTTGAGGTATACGTGGGAGCGGGCATAGGACCTGTTACAGTCTTCACGGATCATAACCCCTTCGTGTTTTAAAATAAATTGAAGAATACCAATCAGCGCCTAATCAGGTGGGCTCTAATATTACAAGACTATAACTTAAATATAGTACACATTAAAGGAAAGGAAAACGTAATGGCCGACACATTATCCCGTAGTATGGTATAAAGAAAACAGTAGACAGTGTGAAATAAAACGTTTTAGAAAAGAAAATAGTGAAGTGTTACGGACCCGAGTCCAGCGTCCGAGCACGGACCAGTGACGACCACGCCATCTGTGGGTCAG